ATAGCCCAGAAGCTCCGTTCCGTGAGCAGACAGAAACTGCTAGCGGGAGTGCTCAACGGGCCGCAGATCCGGCGACTCATGAAGGACCCAAACTTCATCGAATCGATCAACCCGGAGGAAGCCGCCGCCGCCTGGGAATCCTTCGTCTCAGTCGCCCCGAACTTCTTGGGGAACACGAGAGCTTCCAACTACGTGGAGTTGGTGCAGAGACTTGTAGAAAGCTTCCGCATTCTCGGATGTAGAATGAGTATCAAGGTTCATTATCTCCACGCCCACCTTGATCTATTCCCTGAGAATTTAGGGTCAATGATCGACGAGCAAGGCGAAAGGTTCCATCAAGACATCAGCACCATGGAGGAGCGATACCAAGGTAGGTGGGATGAGTCTATGATGGCAGACTATTGCTGGAACCTCATGAGGGAAGCCCCTGATCGACCACATTCCAGACAATCGCTGACGGCTCGATTTGATGCGGATTGATCGACCTCGCTGATTTAACGGAGGATTCCAACGGCCCAACGGTCGAAGCTTCTGCTTGGAAGCCGGAACAGACGAATTCCGACTTTTAGCTTTTAGGCGTTTTCAAATTTTCAATGTTTTTTGCGAATAAAAACTGAATGGATCGACCGATTTTGCTCTGCTTGGTCTCAAAATGCTCGTAAAAGCCTCCTCTACCGAATCGTCGAGGTCAGACCGCTTCAAAGGTCCTAGTTTTTCCGTCAAGTGCGTTTTAAGAGGTCCCTCTCCCACTTTTTTCTTCTTTTTTTTAGTTTCCGATGGCTCTAGCTCAGAGACCACTGCCACGAATCGCACCAAAACTCGGCCAGGTATAGCCCCAACCGAGCTCTATCCGCCACCAAAGTTTCATCGATCTAGTCCACTCAGGGGCGGAGCTAGAACTTTTTAAAGACGAAAAATGGCAAAAAATCGAAAAATTGAAATTTCGGAAAAACTAGACCTGATGGAGAAAAACTGTTATGAAATTCGGATTCAGCGCCCCCGGTTTACCCCGAAATAGCTTTCACTTTCTTTGTAACGCGAAAAAAGTTTTTTTTTGTCGAGCTGTGTAATGAATGCTGAATAGGAGTATCCGGATCCGCTTCCCAAGCAGAGAAGAAGCATTGCCCACCCCTTTAGCTGTGGCGACAGCCAAGATTCGGCGTGGGGATCGTTCTTGAGTCTAGATCTCTCATCTCCATCGTAATTTGGAAGTATCCCGAAATCCCCCCCCCTCCCCCCCTCAAGCTGAAACAGAATACGGTCACGGAACGGAGAAGCTCCAGAGGGGAGCCACAAGACCCCAGGACGCGTCCCAAGGATACGCTCCCGGTATGTGCACCAACGTGGTCGCGGAAGACGAGTCCGTCAGTGGAGATCTAGAATCGGCATTCTTAACAGCGAGAGCAGCTCACAGTGAGCTGCGTATCCCTTTAGGGTGAGGTCGACGACAGATGATCGGGAGTCCACAGGGACGGATAGCTCAAGCTCGGATTTCGGCGTTTAACGTGGGGAACAACTTGCTGGTACACTGACAGAGTACACGATTGAGGCATCCTCAGCTCTGAAAGCGGGTGATCTGTATTGATTTGGGAATTGATTCCCGGAGAAATACTCAGGAAACGAATCAGAGGGGTTTCGGGGACAGCAGCCTACTTTATCGTCGCCGTAGGGGGACCGAATCCGATGGATAGGGTTATCGCGAACACGGCCAGAGAATCTCTTCCAAAGAGAGTTGACTTGAATCGACACTGTCGCTGAACACTCATATCTTATCTCTTTTGTCTCAAGATGGCGTCTCTCTGAAACCATGACGACAGATCGCCGATGCAGGTGCGTTCTCCACATCGAACGCTTGTGTTTACTCTGAGGAGCGGAGCTCCGAAACAACAGTGCAGATCGCCGCACAGAGTATTCACTTGACACTGTATTTATGTGGAATCATCGGAATTATTACATGACCATGAGCTCGGCCCCGTCAGAGTCGAGCTCTCGAGGCGTTTGGGCGTTCGCTATGATACTCACGGAAAGGATGCTGCCGAGGAGCCTGTTCGTGATATCTGGAGCACATGGCCGAATTTGACAGACTGCTCGGAAAGAGCATATTGGATACCGGTCTACAATCCGGAGGAACTCGACGGATTCCGATTCAGTCCGGTCTCCGCAGACGTGTGTCAGATGATATTCCAGTGAAATGACGAATATTTTTCCGTAGGAAAAATTATCATCTGGGCGAGCTTGCGAGCTTTCACCAAGCCTCCTTCCCCCGGAACAATCATCCTGACCAAGAAAATGCGGGGGGGATGCGGAAGAAGATAGTATGTGTGATGAGCGATGAGCAATGCTCACCTCGGAAATCAAAGAGTCATGTGACCATGATCATAAAAACACCGTAGCGATACCAATGAATCGCGAATGCAAACGCTTGATGTTGAGCAAACCGTCGGGTCTGGAAACATTAGCGTTCCATCGATTCACTTTTGTGTCCACCGTCTGGCGCAACTTGATACTGTGACTTTTCCGTCAACGCGGTTTTCAAGAAACAGCTGTCGGCCCAGACAGGTTTTTCATTGACTTTGGGAGGCGACGAGGACTCCATTTAGCCTCGCCTTCCCTCCGCATGAATCCGTCTCCCGGTATTTTCGCCAAGTAAGTAAGAGCGGCTGTGATTCGCGGAGAAAAAGGAGCTACATCCGTTCTGGCGATTGCCTTCAGGATCCGGTATTCCCTTCCGTCATCGTTTCGGCGTTCATCTCGAGACCTCAAGTGCTGGTGGCGGCTCCGGAGTCGCGCCAGCGCCCCAGCGTTCTAGTACGAGCCGAGGATAGAGCGTCCCCAGCGGTTATCATTTCCCTTCCCCCGCGGAATGTGGTGCTCCAAATTTCACGCGCCGAACCTACTCATAGGAAGCTGTTCGTGCCTGAGAGCGACAGGCCCTGATTACTCGAAGTCGCCGTCGACTACTTCAAAGTTTTCCAAGCTTCAAAAGAAATCTCGGCGGGTTTCCGATCGCAGCCGAATAGGCATACCAATATTGTAGGTTGGGCGCGTGAAATTTGAAGCACCACATTTCGCGGGGGAAGGGAAATGACAACCCCTGGGGACGCTACACACAACCGTACCCAGGGAAAACGAACCCAAAATTTTCGGTCCCAATACGAAAGCATAAACCGCAGAAAGGCGCTTCATCCTTCGCAGCTGAAAAGCACGAAAGAGGAAAGCGCGACGCAATATTGCCTGATTCTGCTGCCCCCATTCGGTAGCGAATCGTAGGTACCACCAGGACCTCACACCGGACGGGGTGAACTGCCAGCATGCGACCCGATTTTCGCTGCATTGCCATTCGGAATGTGGAAGCCTTGATTCATCTCGATGGATGTCCGTCTTGAATGTTATTCTTTCACTCAGTTTCCATTCCTATCTCATTTTCAATCCATGTATATCAGAGAAATATTTCAGAGACGATCATTGGGGAGAGCCCCTCGATTAAAAGTCGATTCTTAGGTCATCTCTCTGACGGAGTCCTCTCCCTGGTTCGAATTCAGCTCTAATTCGAAGAAAAGGAGACGGATGAGGGACGCGACAAGCTCGATGTCAGTCAAACCTCATGACAGTCGTGATGCAGAGGGGATTCAGATCTCCTGTAAGCGCCCCCGAGCGCCCAGAGTAACATGAAGCCCTGATGATGAAACAGATCATTCATCTGACAGCAATCGCACGTGCGAGCCCCCGCCGAGATACGGTCGAACATTCATGACTTCATGAACTATCATAGACGTCGGGAAGTGCTTCACATGCGTTCTGGAATGATAACCAATCAAATTCCGACCATCGTGATTTACCGGCGAGTCTGACTCCTCGCTACATGTGATCGATCGCTATCATGCAAAGCGTTGAAGATATCAAACCTCTCGGAACTTCAGACTCAGGGTCTCGTATCGGCTACGCGTCTCGACGAGCACCGCAACGCAAATGCGAGTCCGTATTGATCAAGATTTGGTTTCTATCTCTCCGCGAATAAGAGCTCTGTCGGACGTGGTTGAGGTTCTCGTTGAGACATGAAGAGGCTTTGCATTCCCACCCGGACCGGAATTCCGTCTGACGTATCTGTCAAGGCTTCAAAGCAACCCACGTACCGCCTCCGGGAAGCTCGTGGCGCGGTTTCCTTCACGTTAGTTCAAAGACTGGAGCACCGCCAAGAGGTCGAGTTTCGGAATGCGATCTGAATACGCAGTATCATATTTCATAGTACTCCGTATATGATCCTGTCATTATACGGCGAATTTCACATCGATTAGCTTCTCGATAAGGAGATGATCGGATAAGTAATAAGGAATCACCACTTCTAACCCGTGTCTCGAGAGGATCCCGGAGGAGACTGAATTCTAGAAAGGTCAGATCGGAGCTACCGGAGACGCCGACAGCTTCTCGAATTCATATTCGCGCCCCCACAGCAATGTGAGCCCCTGCACAGTCACGAAATTTCATATCCATTCCTCGAGAATTCTTCTTGACTCATTCCTCTCGGTACGGTATCCCCCACGGGCCTCAGACAAACTCTCACGATTCAAGATCAAGGGGGATTCCATGTTTCCGGATGTATCGCCGTCGTTCCATTGACAACAGAGAAATATGGAAGAAATCATACGCGGCCGACCAACTTGGACTCTGCTCAGAGATAGATATCCTTCGTAGAATGAAAGTGTAATCAGCTGCTAATCTCTCGATCAGTGAGATCTCTTACAGACCTGAACCAGCTAAATCGGCATTTCTAAGCTCTTATGAACGGAAATCGTGACGTGAGCATCATGAAAATCTTTTCCTTCGCTCCGCTCTCCATACGAGGTCAAGGTTCATGGAGGTGAGTTTCTGAGATAAGAAGTGGTTTTGACAAAAAGACATGGCGGCTGTTAGATCACCACTTAGAATTTCCGCTGAGAAAGCTCCAATACACGCCCTCCGAAACCAGGATTCGGCTGTCATACGACTCAATTAACAGTTCCCGTGGATCATTTCATCAAGCTCCACAGCGTTCCGCTTGCCAGGTGTCGAATAGGCATTCCTTAGAGGGTGGATCAAAAGCGATCTTTGTTGCGCTGCCAGGCCGCACACTCGAGCTATCGCGATACGCGAACGTGTGTCGTCTGTCCACCGAGGAGTCGGTTGGAGCGACTCGGTGCCGGGCTGTCACTCGACAGAGAGCAGCACGCCTCCAAAGAGTGAAGTTTCGATTGTGCAATATGGCAACGCAAACCGTCTCAGAGGTGATGTCTGAAGTTGAGACTAAAGCGCGAATTGTGCCGCGGAGAAAGGTGAGTACAGACTGCAAAGGCAGATTCACTTACTCAATCGCCGCACTGTGCTGGCTGGATCGCCTGATCCATACTCGAAACTACCATCATATCTGTCCCGGAGCGAAATCTCCTCTCTCCTCGAGCATTTCGACTCTCAGTTCTGCCAGGTGATACAGCACACCACAGTTTGAACAGCTTTCGACAGCATCATCTTCTCCATAAATGAATCGAAGGCTGCTCTCAATGGGAGGGGGGAAAGATTCAGTCGACGGAGACATTGAATTTGTGTCATGGAATCTGGACGTTTCGAATTTACCCGATGTACTACTCCGTTCTTCCTCTCTCAGCTAACGCGGATCATGGGGGTGGAATTCGCGCCCATAAACACTCCTCTGGAACGTCGCCTTCAGACATTCTCAGCTGCCTCCATGAGTTTCTCGTTCCTGTTCGCCGGTCTTGGAGGGATCCTTCTGAGCGTGTATCTATTCTTCTTCACGAGTTATTATTTGATACCACTCATATACATGGTCTGGTACGTTTACGACATAGACACTTGTGAGCGCGGCGGAAGGCGATGGCAACGACTCCGGAAGCTCCGAGTGTGGAGATACATGAGGGACTACTTCCCGCTTCGTCTGGTGAAAACTGCCGAACTTCCAGCGGACAGGAATTATATCATAGGGTACCATCCTCACGGTATCATGAGCTTCGGCGCAGTCGTTAACTTCGCAACCGAAGGAACCAAGTTCAGTGAGGTTTTCCCAGGTGAGTCACCGCCAGAGACTCACGCAATGATCCAACCGAGAAGAGACTCCCCAAGGTCTGCCGAGGGAGCTCAAGCTCGTCCTGTGCCGCTGGTGATATCGACCATTTCGTAGTCAGAGATTAAGCTAAACGAACTCATCCGTGCAGGCATCGTCACCCATCCTCTGACGCTCCGCATGAACTTCCTTTTCCCCTTCTATCGAGAACTGCCGCTCCTCTATGGGATCTGTTGCGTCTCTCAGAAATCCATCGAGTGGATCCTGAACAGGAAGGGCAAGGGAAATGCTGCGGTCATCGTAATCGGTGGGGCTCAGGAGGCGCTGGACGCTCATCGTGGCGACGATTACCATCTGACTCTGAAGCATCGGAAAGGATTCGCGCGGGTCGCTTTGCAGAACGGGTGAGTATTGTCTGTTCAGTCTCCAACGGAAAGTCGGATTGATGACCTTTTCTCGAGCGCTCATGTGGATCTCATTTTTTGGTCCTCAAACGCGTTCTGGGCCGAGTTTTCCATTTTACGATGTCTCGGCTTTTGGGGGCCGTAGAAGAATTCCAGAATGGATAGGTTTTGTCTGACCCCAGCTCGGCGTGAACTCGACAGATCAAGGATCGGATTCACCGCTCAGGCATCCAAGCAGGTTGATGACCCGCTCATTCCCACGGGCATGAGAAACTTCGCTGGAAATCGCAATCATCCGTTCTCCACCGAACATTCCCACCTACGGAATGCCCCCCTTAATCAGAATATATGTGTAGACCGCGGGTGTCGATCTCAAGCCTCCAGCGGCCGATCTCGGCCGAAAACGGGGGGAGGGGGTCCGCGGGCCATGCCGTACTTTACCTCTCCGTCCGAAAACCTCTATGTATGCCCTATATGTAGCCGATTCGGAGTCATGGAGACGCGAGACTACCCTGCCCTCATCATTCTCAACGATGAGTTGCTCCGGATCCTCTCAACTCCAACGAGTCATCAAGAAACGAAACGAATCTTGGACTTCGGATGTACGGGTTGAAGAGCTCCACGAGCCACAAAAGAGAGCCCGGCGGGCCAGCTCGGTTCGTCCGTCCGCGATTCGACACCCCTGAAAATAGACCGTCAACCCTTACCCCTCGGAGCCACTCCTCGATGTTCACCTTGAAGTCGAGCTCTTCCGTCGCGTTGTCTGACCTGCTTATATGGAACGATACTTTTTTTGAGAGTAATAGTTCGAGTACAGTGGGGAGCGGACTCGAAAGTCTGGAATCGCGGAATACGATGCACAGCTTCGGGATCAGACCTACTCACGCATGTAACGGCTCTCAGCACACAGAGAATAGTCGCTTAAGTTGACGGATCATTCGGCAAGCACGGTCATAGATCCTTGGGAGTCGAATCGAAAACTCCGAGGCCTCGACGACATTGGTTGGTTCGGCTCGGAGTGGTCACGATTTGATGGCTGGAAAATATCAAACTCCGACCATGGGCGGGAACTTTCATTGGAAGAAACGAATCTACGCATATTTCGGCGAACCTGCCCGTGTGCGAGATAAAAGCGAAAGGCATCATCTCCATTGCAGCATTATTTGGGGAGACCGACTCCGCCTATTTAGTGGCTTTTCGTTGTCCCGCTTTCATTAGTTTACGGTACGCGCGATCCAACAGAATGGGCGGAATTCCCTCTGCGCCTGGTCGAAGCCTCGACGTGATGCTGTTGATTGATGATGATCCGATCATCAATTGGGACTTCCGTAATTCGACGACTCTTGTTATACTACGGTATAGTAGCGAGGCGCCTTGTTGGATATCAGACCCGTGCGAGGACCCGATCTAGCTGACCCTACCAGAAAACTCCTGCGAACGCCACTGGGGGTTCGGGAACTTTTTCCGGGCACGTTCATGCTTCTGGATACTCGATGCCCAGAGCGAGATGCCCCCTTCCCTGTACGACTTCTCGCTACGCAACTGCCTGAGCTTTTCCGAAAGCGAAAAGCTGAGCGACCCCATGATCGGCGCGAGCCGACAGCAGGAATCCTCACTTTTGTCACTCCAAGCAACGGTGAATTCTAATTTGAAATATCTTCCAGGGCTGACCTGGTCCCCGTGTTTTCTTTCGGCGAAAACGACATATTCACTCAGGTCGAGAACCCTCGCGGCTCGAAATTACGCATGTTTCAAGAGTTTGTTAAGAGGCTTGTCGGTGTTTCTCCAGCTCTTTTCCATGGGAGAGGTGTCTTTCAGTACACGTGGGGATACGTGCCCTTCAGATCGCCAATAACAACCGTGGGTGAGTCGAATCATATCGTATGGTTCCGTCAGGAATACAACTATGCGACAATTTCCGCGAAAGTCTGCCGCCGAGTCCGACCTCGACTCTTTCTTCGCAAGATCTCTCTTTGGTAGCCCTTCCCCCCTTGGGAGCGATTTAATCATCTGCTTCTATTCCCCTTCCAGTCGGAGCACCGATCCGCGTCGAGCGTGTGGCCAATCCAAGCCGAGAACAAGTGGACGAGCTCCATGGGAGATACGTCGAGCAGCTCCGCGAGATATTCGAAACGCATAAACATCGATGCGGCGAATCGCACAAAAAGCTCCTGATAGATTAATTGGCTCGAAACTCGCCATATTCGAGCCGCCCTCGCGGCATGAACAATATCGTCACGAGCAGACGGAGACAATGACATCAAATGCGAAAAACCCGGATGATCATGGGAAGAATCGCTCTGCAAATGCTCGAAGGGGAAAAAACAGTGAAACCTCCTTGAGACGAGTCACTTGGAGACCGAAAGTTTCGCGGGAATTCTACTGTTTCGCTCTGTTGAGGGTCATTCAGCGCCGGCGCTACGGATCCCTGATCGAAAAGACTGCTGAAGAGTACCTGTTCCCAAAACCGAGTTTCGACTTGTACCCGGTCTCGCTGGCGGAATTCACTGTACAATCGTTCGTCACGTTTCGGAGCGCGTCGTAACTGAAGTGTAAATAAATCGTGTCTTCTGAAGTCGAAAGGCAACGGCCTTGACAGGATGGTGGCATCTAGAAAAAACGAGCATCATTGACAGTTACATAGAGACTCGCCGGAGAGTCAGATGGTCATGTTCTCGTCATTTGGTCACGGGATGAAGAGAACTCTCAGCTGTTTTTGCCGCAATTGCACTCGTCATTTGTTTTATTAAACCGCTTCGGTGTAAAGGGCGGGTCAGATCGACGACCGGTTTTCGACGATGCGGCTCACGATCGGTGAAAGTTTTCGACTCGTCATGCTCCCGCAATCGGAAAACATCTGCTCACGACGACAATAGCTCCCTCCGAGCTGCCTTCGCCATCGCCATGTACAAAATCCGAAGCCGAACATTCTCAAGCTTGGGCTCATACAATGCGAGACGTCGTCTTCAGTCATAAGCGAGACATACATTGTGCGAGAGAGTTAGCAGACCCCACGGACTCATGATCAAGGCACCCAAACCCCTCAGAAATGTTTTTTTCTCGAAAAGCTCCCGCTAGAGAGATCTGCGATCTGCGCGACTCGGGTGCCTGTGTTCCCTCCCTCCAGAAGCCCCTCGTTGGGGACTTCCAATCTATCAGAGATTCCCCTCCTTTAGAATATTCACGGTATTCATGACAGCAGAGAAGATATAACCGTCTTTCTGGCGCTATTTATCTTTTTATTCACCCGACCTCTGATGGGAAAAGACAGTTGGAGAAAGTAATCTCCGATTCTGATGGAGATCGGCCAATCTGTCCCTCCTGCGGAAACGCCTGGACATTCTTGCCCTCACCCGAATGAGTCTGGCCCCACGAGAAGGATCAGTGTTGAGCTTTCACGATCTGGACGTCTTCTACGGCGGGTACTTCCAGGACCGTCACCGATGGGATCATTGCTGGTTCGACCGGGGCGGCGGGAAGGACCGCAGGGACGAGGGGGGCCACGGGCGGAGGCACGACAGCGAGCGTGGGAGCTGGGGCGACAGGAACGATGGGCGGAAGTAGGGCAGGCACCACAACAGCCTCCGGGACGGCGACCGGTGGCAGGGATGGCTCGTCGACGAGTTTGTTCGTGTTCTGGACGATGATCGCACCGCCTCTATGATGTCCCGGTGGGGGCGTGGTCATCGGGGCAGCTGCAGTGGTCTGGATGAAGAAGGCCGAAGCCACGGCTGCGAGCAAAGCAATAGTCTTCATTTTTCTTGTACTTTTTCGGATCAGAGATCGCGTACGATGAGGAACCCGAGATAATTGAAGTCACGGCAAGGAGTACACTTATCCTAGAGCTTGGGCGTTGTTTTATATCCAGGGTACAGGAAAGAACAAAGGTAGAGAGAACGCCGCGAACAACCCCGAGCACCGGGATGTCTGTTTGATATCAAGCCGTGATGTGCAGGAAGTCTCTCGGTTACACTTCGGGTTTCATCTCCAAACCCTCTTACTTAGCGGGTTTCGGGTAGGTTCGATGAAGTCCGCGCGTCTCAGATCTCCGTCGATCGGAATGTCGAGGAAGCGCCCGAGTTCTATTAAGACCGTCATCCAGCTTCGCAACACGAGTTTCTTCCAATCATCTGCTGTCTATTAGGCTCCGAAGCACCGCTCATCAAGCTTTATCGCGGCTTCGAGTGGAATCACAGTTGATCCGGTAACAGGATGGAAGTCTTGAAAATTTCTGCAAGGGTGACGATCGTAATTGGATGAGCTCTCGACCAGGCACTTCTCTGCTGGCATCTTCCGACAATGACCTGAGAATGGGTCCAAGAAACATCGAGGGCTTAGCTGAAGCCGCAGTTATTACACTGCATTCTGAGGAACGTCGGTACATGACAACTCATGAGCCGGACAACCTATCGCCAGTGAACTTGATGCTCATTCGGGGTTTCCTCCTAATATTTCGATTTGGTGGATTCATAATCGATGAGCTGGGTTCAGCGCGAGCCGACAAGGATAGACTAATTCCTGACCCTGACACGCATGCAATCTAACGTCGCATGTACGACAATGTTTCGTACATGCGACGTTTGTATCGTTTTCGATCAGTGCTCGATACTCCTCAAAGCAGTGTTTCCAGTCTCGCCTCCTCGGTGAAATCTGAAAGTCCCGCGAGATGGATTCTTCATCTGATAACGTCTCGTTGCTCTCACAGCGTGTCAAGCGCCATGAATGATGGACATATCTATATTCAGGATGAGCGCGATAGGACGGAACGAAGCAGTTCTGGCGCTGTCATCTCCTTGGTGCCTGTGAGGTCGGACAACACACACTAGATCCGAATCAGGAAGCTCTGGAAATAATGGGTGTTCATACGGACGAGGCGGACCCAACCGCAATCGAGGTAGCGATGGAGAGTACTTCTCTGAGGCGAAGAGCCGTAGAACGCCAAGAGACTCCTCCGCAGTTTATCGGAGCTGTTTTCGAGACGTCTAAGCGAGCTGCGAAATTGACCCTGCCGAGCTTTGAGACGCTTTCAAGGACGCTAGACCACGCACGCGAAAGGACTTTGCGACCGGCAGCTCTTCCAGACAATTCAGCGCCGGTCGTGATACCGAGCGGATTCACGGCATTCGAGAGCGAACCTGGAGTTTCTGAGCGGTTTCTCATCGGAGACTTCGCTGAGATCTGGGATTCCTTACCGCGTATTTCTTCCTTCTCCTCTTGACCGCGAAAGAAGGCACAACTCGACTTCTCTGTTCTCCAGGGGGTGGGCATCAGAGGAGAATCCTTGTGTTTGGACGAGACCCTGTCGGCGAATGGATCGGGTCGTCTCGAAAGATCTACGTGGTCAGCACCTTCAGTCTGGCGCCTCAACGTCTCTATCAGATCGTTGCCATCCTTGCGTAGCCGGGAAGCTTTATTATCCCAGTTCACTACGCTCACCTGCCAGATAAAACACAGGAATCGTATGCCCATCTAGAAAGAGCTCGGTGATCACAGCTTGTTGGGTCGGTATCGGAATGACGCGAGCTTCGGATTAGGCGCTCTGTGCTCTGGGCTTTGTTCCCATGGATCACCTCGATGACGCTTCAGCTGCCCTGCCACAGGAGCTTATGCCGCTTCTAAGTGTACTTCGCGAGGACACGTACGTAGGGTCTTTGCTGCAAATTCTTCCCGACGGAGCCGTTCTCCGACGGAAGCCTCCCATCCCGATGACTTCGGTGGTCTGCTTACGATCCGCAACCGTACGGTCAATGCGGATTCGCGCACCGACTATCACGCCAAGGTAGCGCACCGGAGCCTGCAGACAGGGCTTGGAGTCAGCCAACCGAATTGCGTTTTTTAGATGGCCTAACTTTTTTGGGCTGTTCCACACAGCCAAGGTTTTTAACGTCCCGGGTACTGTTATTCACATTGCTTCCGAGGACGGATCCACAGAGCAAATGTACCCAGGAGGATCAAGGTCGAGTACCTGCAGATTTTTTCCGGCAGCAAGGATCGAACTCACACCGTCTCCGACTTGACACATTCAATCGGGTATAACATGAGGTCCTAATTTCGATTGCTCATTGTTAGAGGCTCGTGACGTGAAGTACTGATCTTGAGCTGGGAATTAAGCAAACCTACCGACGATTAACTCTTCCGCTCTCTCCCTCAAAAACATCAGCCGCATATCGATCAGAGCAGGTTGTTCGCGGGCTGTGCCAGCGCTAAAAATGATGCCACACACATCGAAATGCAAGCCGCCCGAAACATTCTCCGAACGGTCAAGAAACTAGAGGATCCGGAAAACACGGTCGAATGATACTTTTCATCTGGGAAGCAATTTTACCCCTTCGTGTCGCTGGTACCTAGAGAGCTACTCACGACAGGATGTCGATACGCGCTCTCGAAATGATGCCCTGCAGATCTCGAGCGACGAATCTAAATCCGGATCATAGAAAGCCAATCACAATCCATCAGAATCTTTTACACTGCACATCGGAGGCTTCTTCAGCTTGGAAGTTTTGAAATCGAGTATCCGTCCCTCAGCGAGGGGGCTACAAGGGACCAAGATGTGGGGTCCGCGGCTTGGCCGCTCGCCTGAACCCCTTCTCTCCCATGCTTCTTTCTTACGAAGGAGGTATATAACAACACCCACGCTCACAATCGAGAGCACTAGTCGCTCTGCCTTCAATCTCATCCGATTCTTCGTGCTGTTTGATCTCTGATCTGAAGAAAGACAGGAAAAATGAAGACCATTGCTTTGATCTGCATGCTCGCAGCCGCGGCTTCAGGCTCCTTCATTCGATCACCACTCCCGCGCCTCTGACCACACCTCCACCGAACTACAGGAGAGGCCCTTCGATCATCCTCCAGAACACGAACAAAGTTGTCGACGAGCCTGCCCTCCCGCCAGCTGCCCTCCCGGAAGCTGCAGTGCTCCCTCTCGTGCCTCCACCAGTGGCTCCTCTCCTTCCCCCGCCCGTGGCTCCTCTCTTGCCTCCTCCCGCCGTTCCCCTTGCACCAGCGCCGATCGCTCCTCTCGCTGTGGCCGTACCGGTGGAGGCTCCCGTGGTGGTGAAACTGCCCGTATTGGAAGATATTCAGATCGCAGGAGTTATACACTGATTCTCGAATAGCGTTTGAACGAATAAAATGAGCTCTACTTGAAAAAGAAATTGCCGCTTCTCACTGTTATCCTGTAAGTCCCCATCAATCATGTGGCCTAATCCAGGCTTTCCTACAATCCATGGTCAATGCGACATCGGAATTCACCATTCCCATGCAGAAGGTCCAAGCGGGGATCGAAGTCGCACCGATCGCTTTCGAAAGCTGGAAGGAATCGATCAGATACCCATCGTGTTCTCGGACTGCCAAGGAGCCCCCAGAGGTTTATCGCAGATCATTCCTGGGCCCCAAGGTTGTCCCTAGGTATTCAGTCATACCGCCCTTCTCCCTGTTAAGACCTAGTTGCGGAACGAAACGATGCTCCAAAATTGTACGATCTCGATACCGGAGCACATATTCATATACCACCTAAATTCTCAGAGATGAGTCTCCACAGGATTCCATTCTTATTTTACCCAGCGAATCACCTGGAGGGATAACATCCTCCACAAAAGGCCTGGACAGGATGATGCCAAAACGAACGAGCAACAAACTCATACGGAGACACCAAAATGTTGGAGGAGACGATGTTTGGTAAAGGGGGGCTCCAGTGAGTGGCTCCCACTCCGGGAACAAGCTGTCGAATCACCCTCAATACTAATCAATACTTCCAAATTGCGCTTTCGTCAGCGAAGAGAGGAGAGCAGCGCCTTAGTCTGAAAATTAGTGAATCGACTCATTGTATGGAACCTCTATTCATTCATGGACCGAGCCGATACGCCGCCTAAGGCGGTGACCCGGAATGCTTGATTTTTGATGGCGGCGTCGTTGTGGGACCAAGATCTCGTCGACTATTTCCGTTTCGCTGCAGCGCAGAACTCGTTCGCGAACGGAATGCGAATCCTACAACGTGTGTTTTAGTCGCTGACCATGACCGGAGACAGAGGCTCATGGCGGCAATTACTTTTCGGACCCCCGTCGGACCCCGAACTTGGAATTCTCCGCAGGTCGAAAGCCACTCCTGATGAAGTCTCCGTCTGCCGCGGCATCAGCGAGCACCGGTACTTCATCTGCGCGGAGAAAAGCTTTGAGCCATATTCCGCCGATCTTGTACCACGGAAATTCTCGCTGCATCATTGGTACAAGGGATATTCACCGCTGTTGCATTTTCCGCGATATCCCGATGATCGTCTCCATCAAATCTTGCCGATCGGAACTCTCACTCTGTTGATTGGCTCTGGCTCATACATGGGTCCTATTGAGCACCCGGAGTCTACCACGAAAACAAAGTAAAACGAGCTCATTACGCTCTTCGAGTATTTTATTGAAGCCCGGGATCGGCCCCAAGGGGCCAATCGTGCAGAAATGACGTGAGATCACATCATATCTGCAAGAGATGTCCTCATGAATTCACGCAGGCTTGACTTCTAGAACCTACACATCGATTCTTGAGGATTCTTATGAAATCAAAAAATTACTTGCACATTATTCCCTATCGTCACTACAGCTCACGGTGGAGGATTCGTGATGAGAATCGAGTTGAGAAGTATCAATGAAGAGTCTTGAGCCTGTCTCTGGACCACTCGATCAGAACGACGCCGACAGAGCGGCTCCCGAGGAAAGATCCTCTAGAGCAGGGTTTCCCAAACGGTGGTCCATGATCTTCTGAATGG